CAGATGAGGAAACTGAAGCACAGAGAGGTTGCAGGTACCAGGCAGTCCTCATTGTACATGATACCAAGGGCACAGGCCTGATATGCATGCGTTTCTCTTAGCACAGTATCTTGAAAATTGACGCCTGCCTGTACGTGAACTCAGGCAACCCAACTTCAGAGTCTACCCGCTTGGCCTCTGCCTACATCAGTGGCTCTCAATGCATCGTCACCAGACCAGAAACGTCAGCACCATCTGTGAACTTGGCAGAAATGCAAATTCTTGACCCTAGTCCAGACCACAGAATCAGAAGATCTAGGACTCGGACCAAGCAATCTCTGTGAACAAGACCTCGGGGCAATTCTGATGCAAGCCAGAGTCTGCGAACCACTGCTCCATGCAACCCTGCTCCATGACTTTTAGTAGACGTGACGGTGGAAATTGGGAAGCATAGAGCATCCTCAAAGGGCATCTACTTTAGACGAACTGAGGGTCCCTCAAGCTGAGAAACAAATGCCTTAACAAGAAAACCTGGAAAAGCAGGCCAACTTTGCAGGCTAGTTACCTTTAGGGATATCATCTTCTTTTAACATAGCACTTCAAGGAAAAAAAAAAAATAAGGGGAAAAAATCCATTTTTTCCTTAAAAATATTGTCCATGACCATTTTTTTAGGTTGAGGTATCTTGGGATGTTTCTCTGAGTTTCCAAAGTGCTAGCCAGGGATTTAGCAGCAGGACCCAGTTAGACCCCAGAGGAGAGAGCCAGCTGGAGCCACCAACAGATGCCTTGAAGTCTTTACCTCTGGTGGATGACTGGAGGGTCTTCCCTTCTCAGACACAGCATCTGATGTTCTAAAAGCAGTGGAAAGCATCTGACAACCCTCTTAGTTCTCTTTGGGCCCAATGCTGTTGATTCAGTGGCTTTTTTCTAAGAGGCACACTAGATTGTCAACTTGTTTCCTTAAAAAAAAAGTCTCCAGGCTAAGATATTCAAATTGCCAAACGAATGGTATCATGGGAGACCATTATAAAATCCTCTCCGAGTTAAGTCTGCATGCCTCAAAGAACAAAAAATTAATATACTGTCATTACACAGTTGAGAGGGGAAATTAATTTATACAGAAACCTTTTCTAAGGCATGTTCAGACTGCCCGGATACTGCCCCAAATGGGAGCATTATCTGTCTTCCCAAAATAATACACCATATGTCCTAAACTGGCAGACACGAAGATAATTACATGACTCTGGCAGAGCCAATATGCTTGCTAATAAATGGAAAAAGGAGGACAATGCAAATCAAAGTTAAGTTCAATGGTTATTCGGAATTGTGGTAGGGAAGCTACCTGCTACAATTAAACATGGTGAAAAGCAGAAAATGGGCCTCTTGCATAGATTAAGAGAGCCAAAGCTGCTGTGAGGAGCCCCATTTATATCAAGGAATATTAACAGAGGAAGTGGAGCCGTCATGGGCACGTGTGGTAGTCTCTTATGATTCCAAGCCATAGGGTGATTCTCCTTCTATAATCCACTCTTTACAAGGATCCAATGGGAGTTCTTGATAAAATCAAAGCCCAAAATGCCAAATTCCACACAACCACCTGCAATTTTGAAGCAAAGGAAACTAAATGCAAAACGAAGTCTGGAAATCGAATTTGCATCAACACAAATCTACTTCTGATGTTATGGCCCCAAATCATGGAAAGTTCTAGGCCATAGTAAAAGATCATCATCTGACATCAGCCTACTCTTCAGAGCTGTCTCTTCTTTAGACAAGTGATCTTTGCTTCTTAATTATTTTCTCACAAAGCTACTTGAAACTCTTGTGTCTCCTTGGACCTGACATGCACTGAAAAGTATAAAGTAACTGGAATTATCAAGCCTGACTCTCCATGCCTATGGATAAAAGAAGTGCAGACCAAAAAAATCAGTGTTTCTTTTACTTTGGAAAATAGCCAACTTTTGTTGGGAAAAATTCTTTTCCAGCAATTTTTCTCTTTATCTGCCCCACCAACAAGCCCCCTGTCCTAGCCCCAGCAAGCCTTCCTATCTTTCGAATAAACGAAAGAATACTGCCCTCATGATGAAAGAAACATTGGTGTTAGGGACCTGGACTGAAAGCAGCCAGCCTCTGATGTGCTGTATCTAGAACCAGCCAGAATCCTAATATATCACTGGGGTGAGGTGTGGGAATATGGCAAATCCCGTGTGAGGGGCTTCAGCTTAGAAGCCCCTCTTATCAGCCACAGGGAAAAATCAGACATTGGGAACATGAAATCTTGGAGAAAGAGTCCCTCCTAAAATGCTAACAAATAAGGTCCCATGAGTCACTCTTGCCAATTAAATTCTAGGAGAGAGACAGTGACAGATGTGGTGGTGCCAGTGGATTTGAGCTCTGTTGGTACAAATACCTTCACAAGGGAGCTCGCATTGTACAGAGGAAGGTAGTAGTGATGAAATATTTACATATTTATAAATATCTAGACATTAACAATCTTACCAGCTTTGTTCCATGCATTCTAAAGAATAGTCCCGAGAAAGAGAAGAGAAAGAGACATGGCCCTTGATCAAGGGATGCCCACAGGTTTAGAAACCAGACAGAAGCTGACCAGGATCTCCATTCCAGGAGGGTACCCATCGTTGTCATTGCTTCAGGGATAATCTTTAAAGATCACAGGAGAGATTATTACAAGCCCAGACATTTATCTAATACAACATCTCCTAAAGCATCTTCCATACTACTCTCAAGAAATGATGGGAGGGGCGGGGCTTCATTTTCAACTAAACTTGGAAAATGTTTTATTCTTTAGAGACTCAAAATGTCCACTGGCCTAGCAAAGGATCTGAAAAGTCCTGCAGTCAAGAAAGCTGTTGAATGTTGTTTAACCCAACATTTCCCTGACTTCTTTGGTCATAAGAATCCTTTTATTCACTGATACCAACATCTTGTGCAGTCCAAATTATTCTTTATCATGCTATGTAATATAGTAGAATTTAATTAGGAAAAATTTCATTTGCTTATTCTGTATTTTAATATTGAATTATACCATAGTGCATTTCTTTTCCAACAGTCTAAACTAAGAGAAGTTCCTTTAAGAAGAAAAAAAAAAAAGGAACTGGATTGGAGTGTTTATGAGGTTCTGTTTGATTTAAATCTTTTCTCACTTATTGTTCTTGTGCCAGAGGCCAAGGTCAGACTTCTCGTTCTTTAAAGACAAACATAAAAGCCACAACCACATTTCAGGTCATTCTCTGACACTCTTCAACAACAGAAAGACTGAGGACAGTTGGTGAGGGGAGCATTTCTGAGAAGAGACTGATTTTGATTAACTTCTGGTCTAGCTTGTCTGCTTGCTGTGGTTTGCGACAAGATAGTTAACTCTTTTTTTATAAAGGAGCTGCTGAAATCTTTGATGAAGGAGCTAAAAGTCTCTTCAATAAATGATGTTGGGAAAGCTGGGCAGCCACATGCAAAGGAATGAAAGTAGACCACTGCCTTTTGCCATACACAAAAATTAACTCAAAATGGACTAAAGACTTGAAGGTAAGACGTGAAACCATAAAACTCCTACAAGAAAATACAGGCAGTACACTCTTTGACATCAGTCTTAGAAGGATCTTTTTGAATTCCATGTCTACTGGGATAAGGGAAACAAAAGAAAAAATAAACAAATGGGACTTTATCAGACTAAAGAGCTTCTGCAGGGCAAAGGAAACCAGGAACAAAACGAAAAGACAACCCACCAACTGGGAGAAAATATTTGCAACTCCTGTATCCAACAAGGGGTTAATCTCCAAAATATATAAAGAACTCACACAACTCAACAGTCAAAAAAAAAAAACAAACAAACAACCCCATCAAAAAATGGGCAGGGGATATGAAAAGATGTTTTTCCAAAGAAGATATACAGATGGCCAATAAGCACATGAAAAGATGTTCAACATCACTAATCTTCAGGGAAATGCAAATCAAAACTACAATGAGATATCACCTTACACCTGTTAGAATGGCTATAATTACCAAGATAAAAAACAGCAAATCTTGGAGACGGTGTGGAGAAAAGGGAACCCTCATACACTGCTGGTGGGAATGCAAACTGGTGCAGCCACTATGGAAAACAGTATGGAGATTTCTCAAATTATTAAAAATATAAATACCATAGGACCCAGCTATCCCACCACTGGGTACCTATCCAAAGAACTTGAAGTCTACAATTCACAGATTTATGCACCCCTATGTTCTTTGCCACATTATTTACAATAGCCAAGACGTGGAAGCAACCCAAGTGCCCATCAACAGATGAATGGATAAAGAAGATGTGGTATATATATACAGTGGAACACTACTCAGCCATAAAAAATGACAAAATAGTCCCATTTCCAGCAACATGGATGGACCTTGAGGGTATTATGCTAAGTGAAGTAAGCCAGACAGAGAAAGACAAACACCACATGATTTCACTCATATGTGGAAGGTAAATAAATACATGGACGAAGAGAACAAATTAGTGGTTACCAGAGGGGAAGGGGGTTGGAGGGTGAGCATAAGAGGTAAAAGGACATATATACATGGTGATTGACAAATAATATTGTCCAACTGAAATTTCACAATGTTATAAACTATTATGACCTCAATCAAATAATTTAAAAAAAAAAAAAAAAAAAGGAGCTGCTGAGTTGCTTACTCAGATTCATGTCCATTTAAAACAAATTCTGAATGTGAAACTGTCAGAATTAGTCCTCTTCTCCACTCCCCTTGCCCCGCTTGGGCTGACTTACTTATCAGTGTTGCACATCGGCTCTTCCCTGCCAGCTCTAGGCTAGTTATACTCTAGGACTGGCCCTAAGCCCAGACGGAAATGCAGAGAGATTTCCTTGCTGAGGCCTTTGAATGACTCTAATGACCTTTGAATGCTCCCCTAATTTCTCTCAGTATTAATCAGCTATTGCCACAATGATGCCACATAGCAAAGGACCCCAAAACTCAATGGCTACAACAACAAACACGTATTTTTCTCACTCACAGTTCTCTGGGATGGTTCACTTTCTGCTTCTGGTTGTCTGGCTCGGCTCTAAGCTGTAGGTTGGGCTCAGCTCTGCTCCACGTGCTTCTTCATTCTAAGCCCCAGGCTGACAAGGCAGCAGATATCCAGACATTCTTTTCTCATAGTGAATCATTGGAGCCTAAGAGAGCATGCCCAATACCACAAGTACATTTAAGTCTCTGTTCATATCACATCTGCTAACATTCTACTGACCAAACAAAGTCACACAGCCAAGCCCAACATCGACAGGGTGGGAAAATGAGGGAGGGGGAAGTGAATATTTGCTGAACAACAGTTCAAACTATATCATACATCTCTTCCCTAGCTTCTCTTTGCACTACATATCTTGAGGTTCCCTCACCCCAAACTGCTGGTCTGGCTTTCAGCATCTTAGATGATTTTGACCATTTGTACACCGTCTGCTTTCTAACTTTCAGGGGGTCTTCTAGGATGCCAGCCAAATGGACAACGCCAGAGTGAAGACCCAGGAGATGAAATCGGATCAAGTGGGAAGAGTAGCATAAGGAATCTAAAGTGGAACAAGGGTGGGTATAAACCCTGATAATAGGGAGTAGCAAGAGTAAGACAGGGAAGCCCAATTCCATCTTCCAGGCCAGAGGGTCCTAGCACAGAAGATAATAAGAGATGAACCTCAGTGGTCAGAAACTGAAACGCCCTTGAAACAGAATGGAAGCCAGAGAGCCAAGGAGATTCAGTATGTTCTCCTGGTTGATTCCACTTAGCCATCAGAGTCTTATGTTGGACTGTCCCAGGCCAGATTTGTTACTGTGACCTATTGTCCCACCACAGGGCCCAGGCATCCTGCCTCAGGGCAGCAGGCTTCTGGTGGCCCCATCCAACTGCTCACTCCCTCCAGACTGCAGGCCAGATGCAAGAGATGGTTTTTGAGTCTTCTGTTCCAGCCTCAGCTTAGCCCTCTCAGTGATTAGGAGACATACCCCAGCATCCCTACAAAGGATTTCCCCTTTTCACAAAAGCCAGATGCTCCCAGACTTTGCTTCACATTGGAATCACCCAGCGATCTTTAAAAAGTGACTCCCACCCCCAGACATTCTGATTTCATTGGTCTGGGTTGCAACCTGGGCACTAGAATTTTTTTTTTTTTTGAGGAAGATTAGCCCTGAGTTAACATCTGCCACCAATCCTCCTCTTTTTGCTGAGGAAAGCTGGCCCTGAGCTAACATCCATGCCCATCTTCCTCTACTTTATATGTGGGACACCTGCCACAGCACGGCTTGTCAAGCAGTGCCATGTCCGCACGCAGGATCTGAACCAGTGACCCCTGGGCAGCCAAAGCAGAACGTGCGCACTTAACCACTGCACCACCGGCTGGCCCCTGGGCACTAGAATATTTTAAAGCTCCTCAGATGATTCTAATGAGCAGTCAAGTTTGGGACTCACCAGTCTGAAAACCTAATCTAGCCAAGCAGACTATAACAGGAGTTCATTTTAAATCTACAACACAGTTGTGAATAGACAGAAGATGACTCTGAGCTGAGTTTGTGTGTAGGAACTGGAGAGACCCCAAAGGCACTGCATAAGAAAATATAGGTCCAGGGGCTGACCCCCTGGCATAGTGGTTAAGTTTGGCACACTCTGCTTCAGTGGCCCAGGTTCACCAGTTGGGATCCCAGGAACACACCTACACCACTCATCAGCCATGTTGTGGCAGCATCCCACAAACGAAATAGAGGAAGATTGGCACAGATGTTAGCTCAGGTTTAATCTTTCTCAAGTTAAAAAAGAAGATGATTGGCAATGGATGTTAGCTCATGGTTAATCTTCCTCAGCAAAAAAAAAAGAAAGAAAGAAAATATAGGTCCATAATTCTTTGTTCTGAAACCCAAAAGACCCTGAAAACTGAAAGTTCTTTCAAAAATCAATGGCAGCAAAACCTGACCTAACTTGAACTCACTTGGTGGCAAGACTTGACTATTTGTAGTCTTTATTCATCCCACTTAGTGTGAATATTCATGCATTTTGCCAGGAAAATATTAATGTGTTTAATTACAGAGTGCTTTCGCAGACTCTGCTGGAGGTGTTACATAATACAGGGTATGTGTACCTTTGTACATTCTGAATATTTCTGAATTCAGAAAACAAATGTGTGGCCCCAAGGGTTTGGGCTAAAGGAATATGAACTTATAGAAGGAATTTGTTTTACTACTTCTTGGATATAAAGAACAGAAAGGAGAAGAAGTGGATAGAAGAGAATCAAATGACCAAGCAACATGGCCCCTGTGTGACTCATATATTTGTCTCATCTTAGTAGACTAATTAGAGAAACGGACCACCTCTGGGTAAACACAGTCCCTCAGTAAGGCTCACAATTGGATTTTACCCTCACTTATCTTCCTCGGTTAGATTCTTTTGTGCAGTGCACAAACTACACAACCGTGCCAGTGGCCTTGCCAAGCAGTTTTGATAGCAGCTGGAACCTGAGGTGCAGAAGTGGGCAAAAGCTTTTTCCAAGTACCAGGATGCCTAATATTAAACTTTTAGCTGTCTCTATTAATGAAACGAAAATGTCTCTGCCTCTCAAACCTTTAGCATGGCCCACCACACTAAAGCTTTGGGGTGAAGTGCGTGGGAGAGCCTACATGGAGTGCACGCATGAGATGGCGTGTGTAGGATGGTACGCATGCACAGGATGGCAAGTATGGGAGAGCCAGAGTTCATTAGATGGGGCATTGTTCTTTTCACAAACTATTGAACAGAGTTCAGGCTAATTTCACCCAACTATTAAAAAGCAGTATCTAGTGTAACCCTAGCCAATGTCTGGGCTGCAAAAACATCTCATCGGACATTTAATATGCTAAATATAGTCTGCACTGTCTCACAACCATCCTAGGAGAGGGAAGGAAGCTGGGAGCGATGACATCATTTGTTCAAGTGTGAGTAGTTAAAAAGTGGCAAAGCCAGTTTTCAACCCAGATCTTTCTTTCGTCAAAGCTGATGCTCATAATCACTACGCTGTGCCAACCTCATCACAGCTGTGACAGGACTTGGCATGGTGTCTGGCATACATGTGCTCAAAAGCTACTCCACCAAAAGCAAAAGAAATGGTGCCCACCCAACACTGCATGAGGGAGCATCTTGTTAAAACTATGCCTTAAAACTAAACCATAATAAATCCCCTACCAGACTAAGACAGGCATGTGAAACACTTGACTAGCTCCTACTTGCCTGCCCCATTCATATTTATATAAACTCTACAATACAAATGTACCCAGAATTTCAGCTATATTTTAAGAGAAGTGTTTTGTTTGGGGCATTTCTTTTGTAGGATCCATAAACTCAACATCACCAGTAGTTACTTAGAACCAAAAACACTCTCATGAACTAAACGAAGCTGGAAATATTCACAGCTTTGTTCATCTGCAAGCGTGATTTCCATTACCTACATCCTTGTGAATATGCAACAGACCACAGGAAATTCAGCCAATCAGGACCCAGCAGTGCCCTGACCCGTGGCTGGTCACGCATGGAGCTGTTCACTGAAACTCTTATCAGATCTCAACAAGCAAACTGCACCGGTGATGGATATGACACTTAATAAGCAACATCGATAAACTGAAAATATGAATTTCCTGCTGTTAGTGACTGTGGCAGAGACCACTAATTGTCTACTATGGCAACAGCTAACTATGCATCAAAAACGTGTCCTCCCCGCAGGGGCTTCTGCGTTGCCAGTTATGTTCTGTTTCCGGAGCTGGAGCTGGTCACACAGGTGTACTAAGTTTGTGAAAATGCATTGGGCAGTACATTTATGACATATGCACTTTTCTGACTGTATACTATACTCTAATAAAAAGTTTCCAGAAAACAATTATTCAGTCTACTGAGGATAGATAAATAAAAAAATAGACTGTGAAAAAGTTTGGTGTTCTTTTCCAGATACAGAGTTATTAGTGGAAGCAGATGCCCCAGCAGGAAGTACACTTCCCAGAACCACTTCTTTCTAGATTGGAGCCATGTGACCCATTCTCACCAATAGAATGTGAGCAGAAGTGATGTGTGTCATTTCTAGGCCACAGTGGTGAAGACACTGTGTACTTTCTCTACCTTCTCTTCCCATCTGCCTAATAGATAAGGAAGATTTCATTGCCCTAGAACATGACAGATCAACAAGACGGAAAGCTGCCCTCTGACCGGGAACACCCACATTGGACTTTTAGTCTCCTGTAAAAAAGTTTTTTTGTGTTAAGCCATTGAAATTTTGAAGTTTCCTTGTTAAAACAGCTAGCTTTACCCTAACTTATATACCTACCCAAAATCTCTTTACTCCTTTTTCCTGGCTAAAGGAAACCTGATTTTTTTTTTTTTTTTTTTTTTTTAGGTTGACAATCCGTCCGCTTAAAAATAATAACCTCTGTATATTCCCTTGCAACTAGATGTGGCCATGTGATTCAGTCCTGGTCAATGAGATATAAATGGTATTTGCCAGCTATGGCCTCCAGGAAAGCACTTTAAAGATTCAGCTTTATCTTGTCTGGAGCACAGACATGCTGTATGAGATGTAGCAGCCATCTTGTATCCATAAGAGCATGCTAAAGATGGCCGTGAACACCTCTTACAAAAACCACCCTGTCAAGAAATAAAAAACTGCCATTACTCCAGAAATCTCTCATGAGTCCTTTCTTGAACACAACCTCTGCTCCCCCCCCCCCCAGAAATAACCACTACCCTTCTCAGTCTCTCTTATTTTTGGCATTCTTCAACCCCACATACATACACACTCAACACACATATGCACAAACATTCCTTTTCAAAATGGCATTTGGATGTAAGGAGTAGGCGATTCAAGTGTCCTTGGCAATGACAGAGTGGTGTCCTCAGACCTACACAGTCTCCCTTAATGGTGTACCCATTTTCACGAGAGAGAATATCAAGACCCACATGTCCTACAATTCCCTTTTCTGCCTCGGTGTTTCTTTCTCTGTCTGCCTCCTCTTTGCCCTTAAAACATCTCATTGGAAGGGACAGTCTTTCTTTTGTCTCATATTCTCCTTCTTCCCAACTCCAGCCACAAGGTCAAGCCTTAATGAAGATAAATATTTCTTTCTTTACTAAATAAGAGAAACCCTAGGAAGACTGGCCTTTGCTATGCTACACAAAGAACTAAAGGATTTAGAAAAATCTCTCTTCTCACAAATGCCTAATGCTTGAATCTATCTCTTGCCAAAGTCAAGAACCTAACCTTTCCTGCCTGAATCCCTCAGGCTCCAGGCTGGTAGTTCAAGGAGAACTTAGTAGCTTAAAATAACAGCCATTCATTCTGCTCATGAGTCTGCAGGTCAGCTGGGCAGGTTCTTCTGATCTCAGCTAAGCTCGTTCAAGCATCTGCGGTCCAGCTGTGGGTTGGCTAGATGGCTCTGCTGATAGTAGCTGGGCTCCCTCTTACATGCCCAGGGGTCATCTGACTATCAGCTGTTCTACAAAGGCCTTGGCTGCTCCATATACCTCATTCCCTAACAGGCTAACCTGGCCACGTTCTCATGGCAATCACAGAGGAATAGGAGAGAAAGCAGAAATGCACAAAGACTTTCTCAAGCCTCTGTTTGTAGCAAGTCTGCTAACATATAGACCAATGAAAATACATGAAGCTCAGACTCAAGTGGGGGAAAAAGATGCCACCTCTTTAGTGAGAGAAGCTGCAAAGTCTTAGGGCAAGGGGCATGGATTCAGAGAGGATCAAAGAATTGGTATCATCAATAAAACAATCTGCCTCACCCACCAATTCCCACCTGCCATTGATTCAGGACGATTCCTCAGCACTGCAAGACTGCCTCACAAGCTTGGGTCAAGAGAAAGCCCTCAGGCAGAGAACTGCAGATACCTAGAGTAGCACAATGCTGGCAGTTCCTGGAATGGTGAGTAAATGAGGGAATATGGGTTGGACTCAGTGGTCAATCTACACTTTGGTGGATGGTCCATGATGGAAGTGACCCAACAAATCCTCACTCAGAAATTAGTCCTGGAGGTCTAGATAGATGTGACAGAAAGAGAGAGACACATCAATTAGCAGGACAGAGAGAGAGAAATAGAGTATCCACATCTAATTCTATGCTACAATATCTAGAAATGTGCGTTTTATAACAAACCCCCATTCCTTGGAAATATCTAAATGAATCTCTTTATGTATATTGATTGCCAAAAACAGACCAAATTCTCTCCCTGTATGCATGCCCCTTTGCAATGTGATTTTGTAGGTTCTCCAGTCAAAGAGTATATCCATTTCCACACCTTTTGAATCTGGGCTGGCCTTGTCACTTCCCTTGACAGTAAGATGCAATGGAAGTGATAGTTCCAAGTCTGGGTCTCAAGAGGTGCACAACTCTGTGCTTTTTTTTGGATCCTTACTACCACCACAAAAGCAAGCCTGTCGGAGAATGAGAGACCACACGGAAGAGAGCAGTCATTCTAGCCATCCCAGCCAAGGTTATCACAGACCCTCCAACAGCAAATAGCTGACCCTCAAGCACCAAAGATCAACAGAACTGCCTGCCCAACACACAGCCGATTACAAACACATGAGGGAGCCCGCCCAGGCTAGAAAAATTTCCGAGTCAATTCAAAACATTTTTCTTCTTTGGCATGTTAATATGGTAGATTATATTGATTGATTTTTGAATACTAAACCAGCCCTACTGTTCTCAGGATAAACCCCACTTGGTTGTGATGCGTTATTCTTTTCATATAAGTATTGCTGGCTTCAATTTGCTAATATTTTGCCAAAGATTTTTACATCTGTATCATGAAGGTTATTGATCTGTTTTCTTTTCTTGTACTCTCTTTGTCTGGTTTTGTATCAAAGTAATGCTAGCCTCATAAAATGAGTTTGTAAGTGTTCCCTCTTTGTCTATTTTCTGGAAGACATTTTGTAGAAACGGTGTTATTTCTTCAGGAAATGTTTGGCAGAATTCACCAGTAGAGTCTTTTGGAACTGGAGTTTTCTTTTTTTGAGGGTTTCTAAATATGAATTGAATTTCTGTAAATTATAGGACTATTCAGATGATCTATTTCTTCTTAGACGAGTTTTGGTAAATTGTTTTCTTTCAAGGAATTGGTCCATGTCATCTATGTTACTCAATTTATGTACTTAGAGTTGTTCATAGTTTACCCTTATTCTTTCAAAATCTACATAGTCGCTGATGATATCCCTGTTCATTCCTGACATTGGTATTTTGCGTCTTCTTTCTTTTTTCCTACACAGTACAGTTGTAGGTATATAAATTTTATTGATCTTTTCAAAGAATCATCTTTTTGCTTCATTGATTTTTCTCTTATTTTTTTTTTCAACTTGTTTTCTGCTTTTATCATTATTATTTCCATTCTTCAGCTTGCTTTGAATTTATTTTGCTTTTCTTTTACTAGTTACTTGAGGTGGAAGTTTAGATAACATTATTTGAGACCTTTCTTCTTTTTTTAATATTTGCATTTAATGCCACAATTTTTCATCTAAACACTGCTTTAGCTGCATCCCACCAATTCTGATACATTGTATTTTCATTTTCATTGAATATCCAAAATATTTTCTAATTTACCTTGAGATTTCTGCTTTGACCCATAGATTACTTGAAAGTATGTGCTTCATTTCCAAATACTGGTGGATTTTTCAAATATCTGCTGTTATTGTTTCTGGTTTAATTCCAGTAAGGTCAGAGTTCATACAGTCATGGACCACATAATGACATTTCAGTCAATGACAAATCACATATACAACGGTGGTCTCACAAGATTAGTACCATATAGCCTAGGTGTGTAGTAGGCTGTACCATCTAGGTTTGTGTAAGTACATTCTATGATGTTCATACAACAACAAAATTGCGTAACAATGCGTTTCTCAGAATGTATTTCCATCATTAAATGACGCATGACTATACTTTGAATTATTTCAATTCTTTTAAATTTGCTAAAGTTTGTTTTATGAAGTTTGTTTTATGGCCTATCATGGTGAATGGTCCATGTGCCCCTAAAATGAATGTGTATTCTGCTGTTATTGGGTAAAGTGTTTGAAGTGTTTTATAAATGTCAATTAGCTCAAGTTGTTGATGATGTAATCTAGGTCTTCTACACCCTTACTGATATACTGTTTACGTTTTTAAGTGAGTGAGGAGTGTTGAAGTCTCCCACTATAATTGGATTTGTCTATTTCTCCTTGCAGTTTTTACCTCACTTATTTTGACACTGTTGCTAGGCACATACACATCAAGGATTGTTACGTCTTGGAGAATTGACCCCTTCATCACTGTGTAATGCCTCTATCTATCCCTGATTGTTTTCCTTGCTTTGAAGTCTGCTTTGTCTGAAATAATATAGCTTACCAGCTTTCTAACATGGTATAGCTTTCTCTGTCTCTTTATTTTTAATCTATCTGTATCTTTATATTTAAAGTGATTGTTTGTATATAACATAGAGTTGGGTCTTGGGGTTTTTTTTGATCCACTCTGACAATCTCTGTGTTCTAATTGGTATATTTAGACCGTTCACGTTTAAAGTGATTATTAATATAGTTGGATTAATATGTACCATATTTGTAACTTTTGTTACACATTAATTTGTAACTTAATTTGTTACCTTTGTTGTTTGTTTCTTTTTTGTTTATTCTTTTCTTTCTTTTTCTGCTTTCTCTGGTTTTAATTGAGCATTTTATATGATTCTAATTTCTCTCCTGTCTTAGGATATTAAATTTCTTTTTTTAAATTTTTAGTTATTGCCCTCAAGTTTGCAATATGTAATTGCAACTAATCCAAGTTCACATTCAAATAACACTATACCACTTCACAAGTAGTGCAAGTATCTTAGAGTATTCCCAATTCCTTCCTCCCAGCCTCGTAACACTGCTGCCATTCATTTCACTTATTCATAACTATAATCATCCACTATATTATTGCTATAATTACTTTGACCAAACTGTTATCTGTTATATCAATTAACAGTAAGAAAAATTAAAGATTTTATTTCACCTTCATAATTTCTTCTGTAACACTCTTCCTTTCTTTATGTGAAGCCAAGTTTCTGACCTATATAATTTCCTTCTCTCTAAACATTCTTGTTAACATTTCTTACCAAGCAGGTTTACTAGCAACCAGTTCCCTCAATTTTTGTTTGTCTGAAAAGTCTTTATTTCTCCCTCACTGTTCAAGAGTAATTTCACCGGATACAAAATTGTAGGTGGATGGCTTTTTTCTTTCAATCCTTCAAATATTTCACTCCACCTTCTTCTTGCTTGCATTGTTTCTGATGAGAAGTCTGATGTACTTCTTGTCCTTGTTTCTCTATAGCTAAGATGGGTTTCTTCTTCTGGCTTCTTTCAAGATTTTGTCTTTGATATTCTGCAGTTTGATAATAACAGGTAGGTTGTTTTAGTATTTATCCTGGTTGATATTCTCTAAGCTTCCTGGACCTGTGGTTCATGTCTGTCATTAATTTTGTAATATTTTCAGTCATTATTGATCTTGATTTTCTGTAGTCTGACAATGATATGCCTAGATGCAGTTATTCTGGCATTTATCCTGCTTGTTGTTCTCTTAACTTCCTTGATCTGTGGTTTGGTGTCTGACATTAATTTGGGAAAATTCTCAGTCATTGTTGTTTCAAATATTTCTTCCATTTCTTTCCCTCTTTTCCTTCTGGTTTTCTCATTTCTTCTGTGTTACACTTTTTGTAATTGTTCCATGGTATGTGGATATTCTATTCCATTTTTTTTCTTTTTTCTCTTTACTTTTTAGTTTGGGAAGTTTCTATTGACATATCCCCAAGCTCATTGATTTTCTTCCTTCAGCTATATCCAGTGTACTGTGAGCCCATCAAAGACATTCTTCACTTCTGTTAACATGTTATTTATTTCTAGCATTTTGTTTTGATGCTTTCTTAACATTTCTATCTCTCTGCTTACATTATCCATCTGTTCTTGCATGTTGTCCACTTTTTCCATTAGTGTCCTTACCATATTTATTGTAGCTATTTTAAATTCCTGGTATGACAAATCCAAAATTTATGCTCTCTCTGAATATGGTTGATGTTTGCTCTGTATCTCCAGACAGTGTTTTTTGCTGGGAGCAGCTTCTTGACTTCTAGGCAACATCATCTTCCTTCTGTTGCTTCTCCAGCCATTCCAAAACTTTTACAACCAACTCTATGCATTAAATCTCTCTTTTTGGAATATCTAGAAAGATTTCTATTTTCCTACTAGATATTGGCTAGAATAATAGATGGGATAGGGTCCCCATATGTGGTATCTGCATGTGCTGCATGGGCAGAAAATAGAGTTCTCATTAATACAATTGGAGCAGAATTTATTCAGAAATGTGTGCCTTGGGGAGCAGCAAAGACAAATAGGTTGTCATGTGGTACAAATGAGAAAAGGAAACAGAAGTTTTAGTTTGTGCATTTGCTTGTGCTCCTCTCCTGCTCTTAACTGCTCTTTAGCCTCAACATGATATATACAGCTGTTAAAATTAAACATGGAGGGGCCTGCCAAGTGGTGTAGTGGTTAAGTTCACATGCTCCACTTTGGTGGGCCAATGTTCGTGGGTTCAGATCCTGGGCGTGGACCTATACACCATTCATCAAGCCATCTGTGGCGCCATCCCACATACAAAGTAGGGGAAGAATGGCACAGATGTTAGCTCAGGAACAATCTTGCTCAAGCAAAAAGAGGAGGATTGGCAACAGATGTCAGCTCAGGGTCAATCTATCTCACCAAAAAAAAAAAAATTAAACATGGACCCTGTGCCATCTTCTTAAAAAAATTGTTTTAAATTGATGTCTTTCAATAAGTGAATGGATAAATAAACTATGGTACATCTGTCCAACATAATATTATTCAGTGCTAAAAAGAAATGAGCTATCACACCATGAAAAGACATGGAGGAAAGTTAAAGGCATATTACTAAGTGAAAGAAGCCAATCTGAAAGGCTACATACTGTATGATTTCCAACTATGTGACATTCTGGAAAAGGTAAAACTATGGAGACAGTATAAAGATTGGTGATTACCAGGGGTTTAGGGGGAGCGAAGAATGAATAGTCAGAGAATAGAGGATTTTTAGGACAGTGAAATTATTCAGTATGATACTATAATAGAAGACACGTGTCCTTATACATTTCTCAAAACCCATACAACATCCAATACTCATATAAACTATAGTCTTTGGTGATAATGGTGTGTCAATGTTGGTTTATCAATTGTAACAAATGTACCGCTCTGTGGAGGATGTTGATAGTCGGGGAAGCTGTGCCTGTGTGGGAGCAGAGGATATCTGGGAACTCTCTGTACTTTTCACTCAATTTTGCTGTGAACTCTTAAAAAAAATAAAGTCTATATATTAAAAAAAAATTGTTACACTCAGAGGGATATCATATAAAAGATGCTCAATTTAAGGGTAGAGCCACTGGCTTATTAATCCACATAACAAGAGGAAAACCAGCCTTTTCTCCCAAATTTCCACCTTTCATGCATTCCCATGAGAGCCAAAAATTTAAAACATTATGACATCAGAAATAAAAAATTTCGGTTGCATTATCCAGCAAGTAGGACTATTCCTTAGGCAGGCTTTAAAATCTTCTGTTTTGTAGAAATTAATCCTTCCGCAAACATCACAGAAACTGCAAGCTTAACTTTATATTTATATAAAGAGGAGAAAAAGGGACACAGACCAACAAGCACACACCCTCTCAGAACACAGCCTCTTGCCAACACAATGACATTTGCTTCTTCATGCTGAATCAAAATCACAGGGACATTCAAAGTAAAGTTAAATGAGAGAATGATAACAATGTACTTGAGTAGTTTTTGCCCATCTGGAAAAATACATTACATTCCAAAGAAAGATATAATAGTACAGCTGAATGACTGTATATTTATCGCTTATTGAAAGAAAAATGAATTACTTTAATACCATGAAACTATATTTGATAATTATTCTTTAAGTCAACAAACAAAAACAAACCTTTTTCTTTTTCTCAACCTGACCTTTCTCCAATTGTACTTCGTCCATGCTTCTGTTAGGGTTAATGGTTGTAAGCAACAGAAGCTTGGCTCTAATTGAATAAGCAAAAGGAGAATATTCAAAGGATGTTAAGCAGGTCACAAAATCCTTTGGAGGGCTGGAGAAATGGGCTTGAGATGAGCTCCCGGAAAGAGTTCCCAAATCCACATTGCAGAACTAGTCTGATTAGTTCTGCCACCAACACTGCCACCAGGCAACAATTATGCGGTTTGAACCACTGCCACATCCATTCCAGAAATTCTACCTCACAGCCTTAACCTCCAAAGAAAGAGGGCAAGTTCACCATCTGTGTTAGTCAGGGTTCTCCAGCAAAACAGAACCAAGAAGAAGCATGTGTATTTGAGAGAGAGACTTTTTTTAAGAAGTTGGCTCACATTGCTGTGGAGGCTTGGTAAGTCCAAAATCTGATGGGGTAAGCTAGCAGGAAAGAGTTGCAGTTGAAGTCCAAGGGCAATCAGCCTGCTGGCAGAATTCTCTGTTGCTTGCAGGAGGTCAGTCGTTCATCCTATTCAGGCCTTCAACTGATTGGATGAGGCCCATCCACATTGGAGAAAGAAATCTACTTTATTCAAAGTCCACTGATTTAAATGTTAATCTCATCCACAAGCACCCTCACAGAAACTCCAGAATAATGTTTGACCAAATATCTGGGTACTGTAGCCCAGCCAAGTCAACACATAAAATTAACCATCACACCATCCTAGCCCTCTTCTGTCACCAGCTTTTGGGTCAAAGTTTGGCAAAGACATGCTTGACTGAATCACTGGGGGTCCAGGCAGGAAAGAGATGGCACACTCAGAAGGGTGTTTATTAAGAGGACTGTTTACAGTGATGTGGGAAGGGACGGTGATGCACCCAAGGACTAGCAACAGGGGGAAACCATCACTGCAGCTGGATCTGAAGGGCCAAGGGGAAGGAGCTATTCCTGTGGCAGTCAGGGGAGATGGCAGATAATAAACAGTTGTCTGTTTTGTTTTGTTTCAGAGCTTTGGGGGAATTTATTGAGAGTGGCTTTCATGTACCAAAATTGTGCTGAGCTTTTCTCCATCGCTTGCAGGTGTCACAGCTGGTGGTACTTTTATTACCACTAGTTGGTAGGCCAGACTGCAAATAACACAATAGCCATGAGCGAGCAGCAATAAGATCACTGTTATCATCCCACAAGATGTTGACTTTCTCTCCACCATATTCACCCACCTGGTCTCGGTGTGAAGTTTCTCATCTGTATTTTTCCACCGGGTTGGCAAGGTCATCCGTTATCTCTATGACGCTCTACTATCTCTACACTGTATTCCTGGAAAAGTAGTGAAGGTCAGAACACTTCCTGGCATAGATGGAGCTGGGGGCATCAACGTCCCACTACTCTCTCCTTCCACTCTCCAGTCTCCTGCTATTGCCTCTCACTGGCTAAACCCAACCAGAAGCCGGAGGCAAGGAAACTTGGAGATACAGCTCAGCCTCCTGGGGGACAGGACAGGTAGAGAAGGGTGCAGAGTGGATCTAGAGGGACAAACAGAAGAAACCCATCACCCAGAGCTTTGGTCACTGGCCTGGGCACCAGCTGTAAGATGAACCAGGAAGGTGAGAGGCTGAGAACATGAGACCTACTTTCAACCTTCAGGAGGCAGGATTTAAAAAGGAGGCTGGCCCCATGGCCGAGTGGTTAAGTTTGCACGCTCCACTTCAGTGGCCAGGGGTTTACCAGTTTGGATCTTCGGCACAGACCTAGCACCGCTCATCAAGCCATGCTATGGTGTCATCCCACATAGGAGAACTATAATGATCTACCACTTGGATATACAACTATGTACTGGGACTTTGGGGAGGGAAAAAAAAAAGAGAAAGATTGGCAACAGATTTTAGCTCAGGGCCAATCTTCCTCACCGAAAAAGCGAGAATAAAAAAAAAAGGAGAGGAATCAAGGGTTACTCCTACATTAAAATGAGGGAAATTTCCAAAATAGAAGAAACCTGTTGCAGTGATGCTGGGTGGATACAAACAAAACATTTGTCCTCTTTACACTTTAAAATTGGGTACATCCCAAAGATCATAGACATCTTCAAGCAGTAGCCTTTGCTGTGGCACACACCTCTCCAATCTTAGAAAAGCTGAAAATGGCAAGGACGTCTCCTCGTACACAGGCCTTTCTCTCCTCTTCTAGAATGTCCCTTGTCCTGGGACTCCAAACCCCTTCCATCTTCATCCAGGCCTTCAGCTTTCCTTTGGAGGAGATTGGACATTTTCTAATGTTACCTGAGGAAAAGAAACAAGAAACAAACACTTGAACAAAAATAAAACTTTTCATTTCAGCAAGGACACTCTGACTATGTAATTTAGAACCCAAATCTCCAACTTAATCTTAGAAATACTCGAGGTCAAAGGACACTGGCCTAAACGGAGGAGCGACTCCACAAGGACGCACAGCAGCCTCCTGCTGTCCTCGTGGCCGATCAGGTGAGGAGGGGCAGTGGAAATTGGCTTCAGCCCTTCCTCCAGGTGTTTTCTAAAAATCACACGCACCTATGCAAATCTAATCTTAACATCTAGAGCTTTCTTCCCAGAAGCAAGACCTGAAAAAATAGACAAAGGTCAGAAGTTGCAACTGGTGGCCTGGGGCCGAATCTGCCCTGAAAAAACACATTGTTGGCCCCGAACAGTGGTATCCTGCACCGAACTTAATGTTGATTTTCAGTTGCCAACATTTAAAAATTGGAAAATTCAAACTCCAGATTGCCAGCTTCTCCTAAAAATTAGGATGCTCTGGGAGAATTGGGCCCGTGTTCCAACACGGCAGGAGCTGAGAAATACCTGACTCCTTTTGCTGGAACACATGCCCTTCAAGTCACCACTTCTTGTGTCCCCTAGAAACTGAGGCTGCCCGTGAGTGACTGTCATCATAGCTGTGCTTTTCTTTTTCTTATAGTCAAGTTAGACAGAAAAATATTTCTCACACACGTCTCTATCACAATGTGGGGAAATTAAAGACAGACTAAGAGACTAAGAGAACCACATTTCAAGAAAAAGGGGAGGGAGGCTATTTTCGTGCTGAAGTGACCCAGCCTGCTTCATTCATTGATTCTTTCAGCGTCAGCCCGAGTGACATGAGGGGTTGTGACACCTGGTGTGGTCCTAGCAGAATCCGATAGACCCATGTTGGCCTCTCAGTTCTTAACTTGACTTAACATGCTTTTCAAACCCTAAACATAAATTTTTTTTCATCCAAAATGTTACATGCCACCTGTAAGAATGGAGATGTCCAATTTCTTTTTTAATCACTTAGTATCCATCCAACAAATACTTATTCAGCACTTACGGGCAAAGTACTTTGCTAAGCACCAGAGATATGGAAATGAGGAAGACCGATGTGATATTGGCCCTCATGGAGCACTCTCTGTTCAACTCTTTTCCAGAAATTAACTGGAGTATATTACTATATCGAAGCCTCATTTTTCAGCAAGCAACTTCACAGCTTTTTCCTAAGCCAGCACACTGACCCAGAAAAGTATCCTTGCATATGGTGATAAGGGTTGCTTTCCATGAGAAGAAATCAGAGAGCGAGAGGGACAAAAATTATTTTCGCTGACTAAGCTCCAAAAGTTTTCACTACTGTATCAGTCAGGATAGGCTGTTGTGCTACGGTAAAAACAGAGCCCAAGTTTCAGCAGCTTATTTCCTGTGCAGGCTACGTGTCTATCACAGATCTGCTATGGTGCTTCTCCAGGTCAGCTCCACCCCGGGACTCAGGTGACGGAGCAGCCTCCATCTGTGACCTCCTGGTTGGTAGCAGAAGGAAAGAGCTACGGTAGAACCACACAATAGCCCTTAGATCTTGCGCTTGGAAGTCTCACACGTCACTTTCACTCACATTTCTTTGGACAAAGCAAGTCTCACGGCCACACTTGAGTTCAGCAGAGCAATTATATTTGATTCTCCAGCAGGATGGGCACTGCAGGGCGCTTCAGGGAAGGACAACTGATAATTAGGACAATAACACAATCTACCACAAATAGCAATATGTTGGACGTCATCTGGTCCCTAGAGACCAAAATAAAAAAAAGAGTTTTGGCATAAAAATCACATCTGCAAGAAACTGATCGTCTCCAACTAAAAAGCCAAATAATATAGCAAAGGAAGAAAATGGAAAGCCCAGAGTCAGTTGTGTTCCCTCGTCCTCGCTGCAACAGCCCCGGCCACACGTTCCCCTCGCAAAGCAGATGGACGCTGCACCGTGTATCATGACCTGCACTCCAAGGTCAAGTTTCCCCTGCCCGCTCATCACAGCAAAGTGATTGCGATGGGAAGCCGAGAAAATTGTTTTGGGGGATATTAAATAACTTCCTGACTTAATTGATTGACGAATAATAACTTCTAAAATTAGCTCTGCATTTCATTATATAGTGTCTGAAATGAAATCCACTCAGCTTACCTGAAATCCTGGGAAATGTGAATGACAACAAATGCCCTTTAAGTCCTGCAATTGCCTTCCTCTCCACTTGTCTTCCCGGCATTACCTACGGCGGTGAGGGGGGGCTCATTTCCGTTGTTATAGCCGCTCTTTCTCCTGCTGCTTCCGAGAGCACCCACAGGTTTACGACCTTAACCACCAGAAAGGTCTTAGTTCTTTCTTCACCTGCTTAGAAGGAGATAAAGACTGAGAATTGAAAACTATAATTACTTCCCACCCATGCTAACTCTTAGCTTTCTCTCCAAAAATTCACCAGGAGAAATTGTAAAATACAGACGGGAGAAGGCAGCTGTGTGGTTCCTAAAGACTTGGAGCAGGAACCAGAGGACTGGAAACACACAAACGCCTTGCAGGCAGGAAGGGAATCCTCCTGGCCCCAGAGAGAAAGGCACTTAACCCCAACAGGTCAAGGAGGGTGAAGGGATCCTGAGGCTTTCAAAGCAATTAGCTATATCTGCAGACTATCACGGTTTATTTTCATTAGTTTGCTTTCAGCCCCAAAGAGACATAAATCAAAGTTCCCAAAATTGTTCCACCATAGACCACTAAATGTTAATTCCATGGGCAAACATGAATAAAAATAGAAGTACTGTTATTGTGGATCTGAGACCTTTTTGTCGAGATCTGAATGTGGGAGGTCAAATGTGCTTTCCCAAATTTAAGCTTCTTTACTCAAATTACCACTTCCTTCATCACTGATTTCTAAACTCAGCAAGTCCTTACCAAGCATCCGTGGGCTGTAGAATGACTTTAGATGCAGAATTTACCAGGTAGCAAAGTGCCTCATGTCCACCCCGAGCAGGTGTAGATATAAACAAACTGGTCGAATAAATGAGTCTTAGATAAATCCTTCTCACAAAACAGGAGGTGTTCCTCTTCATTAGCTTGAGCTTATTAACAAGGAAAGCTGGAAGGACCTTGATAGAAAAGCCTAGGGATAGAGTGGAAAATTTTCTTAAATCCACACTATAAAGATGGCCTTATACAACACAAAAATTGACAGCTTCTAAGATGCACGTGCTACAAGCAAAACAGAATGGTGGGCATATAATCAGTCCATATACAATTGAGAGGTAAGTGCTAGAAGCATAGATATGAACAAGATGGACACAACTCCCACCCCTAATGGAGCTTGCAGTCTATGAGGAAAGACAGACAAATATTTGGAAATGTGGTGAGCAATGTGAAAGGAGATGTACATGGAGCTGTAGAATAGAGAACAGACATTTAACTTGGGGGAGTCAGAAAAGGCTGCCTCGAGGACGGGGCTTAGAAGCCAAGACCTAAAAGATTTGTGGAATAGTAATTGGAACACATGGCAGCTCCTATTGCTGCCCACGGAGATTCTCACTGTTGTCAGCTCCCCACCTTTCCATCCAAGAAGCTCCCACCAGGCACGGCATGTCACAGTCATCAAAGCTCAGCAGCAAACCTCCCACCTGACTCCATTCGGCACACAATAAGACAAATAAATGTAGAAATGAGTTGGGCACTATTTTCAGTCCAAAAAAGTTTAAATGGAAAAACCCAAAGTTTACTGGATGGGCCATCACAGAAGTGAGCTAATTTAGATTCTGTAAAATAGGTAGTCATGACTTTGTGCCACAATCACGGTGACCACACCTTCCGACAGTCAGGAAGAATGCTCCCCTTTTTCTGACACAGTCTTTAAAAGATAATGAGATACGAAACTATAGCTTTATAAATGGAACGAGAAGGAGGAATTTCTTGTCAATCGTTTGACAAATGTGTTTGAAAACTTTCCTTCAAGCTTGGTGAAAAAGAAAAATAACGGCAGGTGTTATCAACAGTCAATATTGCACAGATTCAAAGATAAAATGCACATGGCTTTTCTAAAATGTTATCTATTAGTCAGAACAGGAGTCTCTGATCCCGTATTTCTCATAGATGTGCAACCACACGGTTTAACCAGCAACAATCCAGCTGGCGGTTGAGATGCCTGTTTCTTCTGGAGGTTATTTTAACCACATGTGGGTCCTCTTCATCAGCCGCACAAAGAGAACTTGGGATAGACCAAAAAGTCCGTGAGAAACCCTAACTCCAGGGCCAAAGTGTATCGCCCTCTGTGTTGGTATCACAAGGACACCGGTCTGCCTTTTCCTTTCATCTAGGATAGGTGTCTCTTGTCCTCATTCCTCTGCCAAAGCAAATGACATGAATTTCTCTTTGCTAACCTTGAAGGCATCCTATTGATCAAACCACCTTAGCTGAGACACCGTCTCCTTCAGCCCAGAGCAAACAGAGACGTGCGAGCCTTGGCTGGAGAAAGCATTCACTCACTTCCCAGAGATTCTCTAGTCAGGAAAAAAGAGGCCATGGTGGGTGGGCGATTCCTGGTTCTCTGTAGTGTGTATAAACAGGCAGAAAGACTTCAGAGGAAATTGTTTCTGGCCTTTTCTTGAAATAAATGTAACTATAACTTCGAGTTTGTGGATGTACGAATCTAGAAGTGAACTCCTGGGTAATCTCGCGCGATGTGATACATTCGCTGGGTGGGAATAAAAGTCTATGATTTTACGTCTGATTCTTCTCGGCAAAAAATCTCTTAAGAAAATTATAACAAAGCAATAGGATTTTTTATTTTGTTTTCTGTTTGAAAATAAAAACAACTGTTCTGACAGTACTGTTGTATATTCTGATATTTTTGTCCTTAGAAAACGGCATTTTGCCTTATTGGTAGTGACTTGAACAATTATTATTTCCACCATCCATATGATATAAGGATGGTTAGAATGTCCCCACTGGAGCTAATATTCATCAAACTAGTCAGTATACTTTATTTCCTCCAAATATTCATAAAGCATTTTTAAAATTGATTTCTCGAGTATGAATCAGTTGGATCAAGGAAAACACAATGAGTTTTCCACATGTAAGTCAGTTTTCAGCATTCTGTGGTTTGCTGTAGGTTCAGACATCCTT